TTCTTTATAATTAACTTATATTAATTAAATATAGGGTATTTACTAGTCCATCATCAAGCATACTTGTAATACTTGTTTGCGGCTGCCTTTTTTTTTTGTGACTTTTATATAAATTGTTGTAACGCCTATTCGGAGCAATGTTTTGGCAAAGCGACGACCAGAAGCCAGTAGCCAGAGAGTATGTGTAGAGGAGAGTAGAGAGGGGCATGAGGTGGAGATATTATATAGAAGCGCAGGCCATTGTTCCAAGCATAACTCATTAAGAGTGGAACTGGCCTAAGTGTCGACATGGACGTTGGGAATGCTGAATTTTTTTTTATATATGTATTTATTTCTTTCATTTTTGTTGTTGTTGTTTGTAAATATAAATGTGAATGGGAGTGTGTGTGTGTGTGGAGTGACCGAGCGAGCCTTGGACCTATTAATTAGATAACTATCTTGAGAAATTGCCCATTTTCAAATAGTCGGCGAGCATTTGTGTAATTAGATTTGCTTTTCACAACATTTACGTTTGTTCGGGTCGGACGTTGATTGCATTTGGCGGCTGGCGGCCGACGACTCAAATAACCTGAGCGATTAATCATGGCAAGACTCGAGCCAACAACAACAACAACAACAACAACGACGACTACTACTACTGAAGTTAACTCCAGACATCTGCCGTATGCACATATGTATATAAAAAGGAAAAAAAAAAAAAAATACACGCGCCTTGCGGTTTGTCACAATTTATGAGGTGATAATTATTCATCGCAAGCCGCAAAACTGTCATAATATTGTAATTAACATTAAGAGAGCCGCAATGAAATTAAACGCATTTCATTGCAGGTCGTGTTGGACTTTCACTCGACCCTAATTTAGGTGCCCAGGCTGACCAAGTTGATTTCCGTATTACCTTGAGTCGAAGACGGAAATGAGCCACCGCAATCGTCAATCATCAATCGATAACCATCGCTGCTGCATCGTGTAAAAGGAAACTTTTAGAAGATGAAGAGGAAAAAAAAAATGAAAATTGTAAACTAGAAAATCGACAAACTAATCACATGAAAAGGAAATGAACTGCAGCCCAATGAAACCTGGCCACAGTCAACACACAGCCAAAAGGTAAAAGGTAAACGATAAACGGTAAATGGTAAATGGTAAATGGTAAAATGGTAATCCAAAGCCAAGGAATCAACAAGGAATCGGAGCTGAGAGCGCTGCGCAATTCGAGTGCTCTGCATTCGACACCATGACAAATTTTTCTTATTTCAAGGCAAGTCTAGACCTGAGATCAGAGATAAAGTAAATCTCTAAACTCATCCTGGCTACAATAACATTCGCTCTAAGAACTAAAGCTGATGCTAAGTAGATTTTATGTAAGTCATCAGAAGAGTCTACTCATATGACTTTTTTCAAATGGTAATAAGTAATTATAGAAAATTGAGTGTGGGAACTGGAATGAAATGATTTTTTAGACATACGAAATTAAAAACTACAAAAATTTTGAATATGAAAAGTGTTAAAAAAAAAAAAAATAATGAAATGTTTATTTGAAATAAATAAATATACTTTTATTCGTATATAAAGAGACTATTTATCTAAAACGTTTAAGGTAAATGGTATTAAAATATTTCAAAAAATATATTTAAACTTAAAAAATATGTAAATTAAATATAAAATTAAAAAGTATATAACAAAAATATATAAAATAAAATTAAAAAAAAGTAATGTCTTGCATATAATTATTATATTACTATAAAATTATTTTATAATTTATTGAGTTATTATATATATTATTTTATATAATTTATATTTATTTATATAAACAAATAAAATATAATAACAAAATAAAAAAATAAAAATTAAAAAAATATATATAAAAATATCTTTTATGCTTATAAATTGATTGTTATATATTATATTTTTATATTATATTTGAAGCTCTAATCAAACTCTAATTGTAACTGTTGAAATGATTTCTCGTAATCAACTCGTGTGACTCGTGACAAATTGCCCAACCCTTAATTACTTACTATTTGACTCCGAAAGCACCCTTATATATGTGCATGGTATATGGTTATATTATCATGGCTCCGACTGTGCCGCGGATTATGCTAACATTTGGCCAGGCCGTGTAATTTGAATCGCAACATGGAATCCAACACTTCGAGACTTGATTGGCAATGCCTGCTGCATACCTTGTGAAAACTGTGTATAGGGAGTGTGACTGTATGTACATATATATATATATGTGTATGTATATACCATTTCTATAGACATATGTATATATTGTTCCATTCCTAATGATATAATGGACTTTGCGCTCCATGAGTTCGCTTGGGCAACAGTTGCGATTTTTTTTCTCTTTTTGATTTTCTTTTATTTTTAATTTCATTATGCAGCACAAAAGGCGACCTGAATGCATTTGTAACTGTAAATATATATATATACTATATATGTATTTGATTGTGTATGGAATTTTCAATTTATTTTACGCAACTTGAAAATTGTGTTGAGAAAAACTGAGAATTGTAACAGTGCCAAGGCATTCAGTTTGTCTCAGGGGTTGCTGCTGCGGCTGCCTCCCGGTCTATGGCTCATCCAAAATAAAAAGGAAATATATACATATATAAGGGGGAGTGGTTAGACGCCCAGCCCGAAAGGGCGCGACTCTGCGGCGCCATTTCCAAATAAACTTTTAGCCAGTGGCGTAGTCGGAAAATGGAGAAAGTGAGGAAAACTGAATGTACTAGGTACTATTTGGAAAGCTTTAATGAAAGTTATGAACACAATGGGCTAAGGCCTAAAATGATTCTAGAAATATTTTGATTGGCCTGTAGCTGCAGTACAATATAAAGAATATTCTATATATGCCTAGATCTCAGGGTGATGGGATTTTGTTATAAATTCAGGGAAAGATATGCTTCTTGGTATATGGATATATATACTATATATCTTCATATTTTGTTCAACCAAATTAAAATATTTGCTTTTATTTGTATTCCATTTTGAAATTTGAGTTAGCGCAAGTAATTCATAGTTATCAACCTAAGCAAATCGCAAAAAATATGATTCAAATGATATAGATTTTATCCAAGAGATATATATAATTATGTATATACATACATATATATATTCACATTATCATTATCTCAGACAAACACACAAAGGAAATCGACATGGATCCAATGAATTTAGACTACGCCCATGCGAGACTATCTGAGCCTGCGACCCCTGCTCCTGCCGCTGCCCATGCCCCTGCTCGTGCCCCAGCCAGCTAACAGGAAGCTCACGTACTCAATGAACATATTATAAAATGCCTTCTATGGCTGTCATATGCTCATGTAACTGGCTGACAGTTACAACACAGACAGAGCAGTGGCAGGGGCAGTGGCAGGGGCAGGAGGAGGGCCATGACTGGGCGGGGAGCTAGGGGCTGGTACTGGTGCTGCTGCTGCTGCTGCTGCTGGGGGAGGTGACTCTCTCATACAATCGTTCGACCATTTGGTTTGCTTTGAATTCAATTTGTGAAGTGCTTACGTACGAGCACTATGAAATGATGCTGCCCCTTGCCGTCATCTTCCTCTCTGCCTCTGCCTCTGCCTGTGCCTCTTCGTCTGCCCTTTGTCTGTGTTGGCTGAGTTTCGGAAACATGTTGAAAATCACATAATGTGTCATTTAATAATCAAGTACAATGGCACAATGTGCAATGTGCCAGAGGCAGCCAAGAGGGAAGAGCGGCGGGGCGGGGTAGAGTCGAGCAGGGGAGGGGCTGGGAGTGGGGGTGGGTATGGCGCGGCGTCGACAGAGAGGGCGAAGCCAACAATATCGCCATTAGGCATAAATTTATGAGCGAATACGATGCGACGCAACGGCCATTGGCACAATCCTACATATATGTTCATACATACATATATATATGTATACACACACACATATGTATATGTACATCTATATATCATATACATGTGAAACAGATGATGCTGCTGCTGATGCTTCCTTGCCAAACAGCTCTACGGCTCATATGAGTGTATGCGTGTGTGTGTGTGTGTGTGTGTGTATCTGTATTCCCTCTAGCTTTTACCGTTGAAAACAAAGCAACAACAATATCTACAACAACAACAACAACAATGGCAGAAAAAAGTTAAATAAACGTTAAATGAAAAATTCAGCTCAATTGAATTCGTTAGCGCGAAATGTCGTTTCTCTCGTTACTGCACAAACTCCCCTCTGCATCATCATCATCATAATCGTGATCATTGTGTTGATTATCATCAATGGCTGTCGGTTGTCAACCATTGTTGTTGTTCGTTGTTCGTGCTCTTGTTGTTGTTGTTGTTGTAGAACGTGTTGTATGACAGCCATTGGCCAAGGATTGCTTTAAAAGGCATTAAATCTAAGCATTTAGCTAAGCCAGAGCCAGAGCCAGAGCCAGAGCGAGAGAGAGAATCAGAGATAAAGAGACAAGAGATAACATTAAATAAGATCATTTCATAGGAAAATGCATATTTACTGCATTTTAGAGATAGATACAATATGCCAAATTAAACAAAAAATATCTCTCGGGTTGAGTAAATCAATTAATATACATATTGAAAACTATTTAATTATACATATGAAATGCACAAATTGTGCAATATAATATTAAATATTATAAAATTATTACAGCCTAAGTATATGAATTCTTGATAATAATATTATGTTATTATTTAAGTATATTATTAAAGAATAAAAACTATAATTACTGTAGAGACATAATATTATTTTAAGATTATTATTAAAGTATACAGATATTAATAAAAATTAAGAATATTATAATATTTATTGTGGAATTAAAAACTATTATTTCTGTATATAAGAACAAGTACTCGTAACTTCCACTCATTAGGAAAGTTTCAACTTCCATCATAATCCTTTCCTTGATTCACTCGATAATTGAGAGCTATACAACTTCTTTAAATTATTCAGGTTTTTCCAAATATTTAATTTTACTTTTTTTTATTTATATACTGCAAAAGTTTTATTTGTTAAAGCCATACGAGGTTTTTCAATAACCCCTTTGTGAGCTTATTATCTGTTCATTCAGCCCATTAGGGCGCGCCGGCAACTTACGTTGCTGTCGCTGTAAAAGTAAAAAAATCTCTTCTACAATTTTATTGTACTTCCATTTTATAGACTTCTATCTGAAATTCTAGTTCTTCTACTCATTCACGAAACTGAAATGAGTATATTGGTTTTGTGCAATGTTGGCCTTGTTGTATATCCATCTGTCCGTCCGCTTGTCCGTCTGTTCGTTCATATGAACGCCAAGCTAAAAGCTTGAAATTTAAAATATATACTCGCTGCAGTATTCATCATGAGGTAAGTATGTGAATGAATTTGAAAAATATACTCACTGCAGTATTCATCATGAGTCATCAGAGGTAAGTATGAATTTACACCAAGTCGTACCGCATTGACACAAAATAGTCTATTCGGCTCTCTTGCTGTTCATTGTAATCTAAAATATAAAATTAAAGACATCATCATCCACGATGGGAGGAGGTATACACATGCAAAGCAAAAATAACGCTAGATAGTATTAATGATAAAATTTAAGAGATCTGTATATGTGTATAAATAAATGTAGGTTTAAATCAGCAAAAACTGTGTGAAAATGAAAAGCAATAAATAATTTTGGTCAATAAATATACAAACTGTTGTTATTTTTACTTAACAGGGTTTCTTTACTGGGAAGTAATATTCAAAAATTAACGGCAAAAAAATATAGTTGCATAACTTAAGGAGGCTGTTATTGTGCCGTTGGGGTCAAAATTGTAACGGCTACTTTCAAAAGTACCAGGCAAACAGAAATGAGTAGCACAATGAGAAAGGCAAAATGATATTTAACATAATCATGCTATTGGTCTGTTAATTAACAGCATGGTAACAGTACACTGTTAGTCTACTGTTAAAGATCACTTTGCACCCTACTTCACATTTCTGTGCGCCTGGTACTTCACAAAAATAGCTGTACGAATTCTGGAAGTACCAGGCGAACAGGAATGAGTAATAGGGTGAATATTGTTGCTTAACAGTATATTAGCAGAGCACTGTTACTGCCGTTTGTTTACTCTGTTAAATAACAGCATGGTAACAGTGAACTGTTAATGGACTGTTGACGATGATTTTGCACCTTACTTATCGATCCTGTGCGCCTGGTATTTCACAAAAATAGCTGTACAAATTCTGGAAGTACCAGGCGAACAGAAATGAGTAGTAGGGTGAAAATGGTTGCTTAACAGTATATTAGCAGAGCACTGTTGCTGCCGTTTGTTTACTCTGTTAAATAACAGCATGGTAACAGTGAACTGTTAATGGACTGCTGACGATCATTTTGCACCCTACTTCATATTTCTGTGTGCCTGGTACTTCACAAAAATAGCTGTATGAATTCTGGAAGTACCAGGGGAACAGGAATGACTAGTAGGGTGAAAATGGTTGCTTAACAGTATATTAGCAGAGCACTGTTACCGCCGTTTGTTTACTCTGTTAAATAACAGCATGGTAACAGTGAACTGTTAATGGACTGCTGACGATCATTTTGCACCCTACTTCATATTTCTGTGTGCCTGGTACTTCACAAAAATAGCTGTACGAATTCTGGAAGTACCAGGCGAACAGGAATGAGCAGTAAGGTGAAAATGGTTGCTTAACAGTATATTAGCAGAGCACTGTTACCGCTGTTTGTTTACTCTGTTAAATAACAGCATGGTTACAGTGCACTGTTAATAGACTGTTGACGATCGTTTTGCACCTTACTTATCGTTTCTCTGCGCCTGGTATTTCACCAAAATAGCTATGCAAATTTTTGATGTACCAGGCGAACAGGAATGAGTAGTAGGGTGAAAAATGAACGTTAACAGTGTTACACTTATAACACTGTTGATTCACTGTTGTTTAACATACCCCACACTGTTAAATAACAGTGCTTTGCAATACACTGTTAACTAGAATTTTATTTAATTTCTGTAGGCCTTCCTACTTCTCATTTCTGTTCACCTGTTACTTCAGTTTCAAGAATTACTCAGAACTGTGATAATTTTTATACTAGGTTATTTAGTTACTAAGTTATTAATAAATACTATACTAAATATATAGACTATATTATATATATATAGACTATATTATATATATTATCCACTCCTACATATCGTTGTTCTAGTTAACCTACCTTTACCGAAGCAAATAGCCGTGTTGGGCTCAGCTGTATGGCAATGCGCGTCAAATACAATTTATTGCTGAGTAATTTTATTAGTTATAAGCGAACAGCAGCTAACATCATAACAGAGAGAGCTGGAGAATGAGAACAGGCTGCGGAGGAGCCGTGGAACGAGGATGGGTTGAATATACCTGAATGGAATGACGAGCGGAAGTTGAAAATAACCCAATGGAGCAGGTATATATATATATGTATATGGATATACTTATATATAAATGTGTATGTATGCATGTACATTTATATGTATGCATATTATTTTGGTACAAAGAAATAAAACAACCGAAAAAATAAGACACTTTTGAAAATGGACGATCATAATGATGATGACGGAGCAGCCGGAGCAGCCGGAGCAGCAGACGATGATATGGCACAAAGTGCGCGAATGCGAATGAATAGATATACAGCTAAAGATACAGCTACGGCAGCTAGGGCAACGGCTACAGATACACAGGCAGACAGAGATACAGATACAGATACAGCTACAAGCGCGCATGCATATGCTGTCAACGCAACGTTGATTATCGGCTACCGTGCGGGGGCGACGGCGGCAGACAAATTGCCATTTACACCACTTACAGCGGCAGCAGCAGCAGCGGCAGCGACGACAACGGCGCCGACAAGTGCCAGCTACAGCAAGAGCTACAACAACAGCAACAGTAACAGCAACAACAACAGCTATAGCCATAGCTCTACAGCTGAAGCAATCGCAGCACTCTTGTAACTAGAGTTGTCTCGCTCTAACGCAAGTGCGGCAATTGCGCGTTCGGCTTGCGTTTGGCATGGGGCGTGGCCTCGTCTAGGGCACACCCCTTTGCCAATGGCAGACCGTAGCATAGTTACAGTTACATACACACATATACATACATACGATTGCTCTTGCTGTTACAGTTACATTGTTGCACAGCGCAATTGTTGTTGTTGCTGCTGCTGTTGCTGGCGCAGATTTTTTTGAGAAGCTGCCGTTGACGTTTTGAATAAATTTTAATTGAATTCGCACAATGAAACTGTTTACTTAACCTGCCACTTTGCAAGATGAGCTTCATTCACACATACACACACGCACACATACATGCACACACTCGCATGTAAAGCAACATACTTGATGCATTTACAGCTGAAAAGGCCAGCGCATATATCATATATGCATGTGTTTCTCTCTGTGTGCGTGTGTGTGTGTGTGTTTGCGTAGGTGTTTACGTGTGTGTGTGCGTGTCTGTCTGCTGGTTTAATTACAACAAACGCGCGAGATTTTGTGTTAACACTCGTTAAATATGCAACAGCAAATGAAGCGCGCCTTAAGCTCACTTCAGGCTAATGAGTCGCATATGCTCAGCGCTAATTAATAATATTAAAATTGTAGAAATATTATGTATGAATGTATGTCTGTATGTATGGACATACATATGTACATATGAATGTACTGCATGTATTTTCTGTGAATACAAATTGTACAAATTGAGCGTAGCAATTTAGGCTCGACCAGACATTAACATTTCAGCTATCAATGTGTTAATAGGAGGAGCACAATTGGATATAATTAAACGAGAGTTATTTAAATAATTGTATTTTATATGATGTGTGTATTATGTTGCTTAAATTAAAGCTAAATATACACAAATCAACTGATACGATGTCAATGCCAAATTACCTGTACTTATTGGCTAGTCAGACAATAACATAAAAAAAAAAATTTTTTTAACTATTTAAAAAATAACAAAAAAATCTAACTTTTTTAAAAATAAAATTATAAAATAATTTATATTTTAAAATTATTTTTAGCAATTCTAAAATTCATATAATATTTTCAGAAAAATATCTCTACAAAGAAAATATAGAAAGTAAGTAAAATGCACAATTATTCATAAGTTAAAACAAAAATAAAGGTATAGTCAAATTTTGACTGTTCTTCAAAAATAAAATATTTTAAGAAAAATTAGTCAAATATAAATTTTAGTTTCCATATTAAAAAATGAAATTTAATAATAAATAAAATAACATAAAAAATATTTCTAAATGATAAAAATAAAAATGAAATTCATATTATGCATGCAAAATAATTCAAATAATGAAAATTCAAATTTTCCATAAAAATATTTAATATTTAATTATTTATTTTTGTACAAATTCAAGTGCCGAATCGTTATCCGTTAGTTCTATTGACTGACAATCATTCGATCGTTTTAATGCATGAATGACTGTTTAATTAGCTCACTGACTGACTGACAGAATGATTAATAAACTCGATAATTAAGTGACTGCAATAATGTTGACTGCTTTATTGATTGATTGACTGACTGATTTATAGACTGACTGACAGATGGATTGATGCTTAGACTTTGCATTACGTGCTATAGATACGTTATGTGTGAGACGGAATAACTAAAATAATTATAATAAGAATAATTAAACAGTTGATATATGTACGTATATGATAAAATTTGTATAATAATTGAATCATTTTAGTTTATATTATAATTTTTATTTTGGTTATATACTATATCTAGTTGTATATATAATATAATATTTATTTTATTTTCTACATAGCATATTCCATTTAATTCCATCTCTTAAACACATCATCATACCTTTGACCTATTTTCTTCTTAACAAATATATATGTAGTAGTTTTTTTTTTCTTTTTTATATTTTCTCAACTTCGTCTCTCAAGTCAAATTCTTTGCCATCGATAATCTATAATAAGCAGTTTCCTTGGTCTTTTGGCCTTTAACTTTTCCGTTACAGCTTTGGCTTTTCCTGTGACATTCGGCTCCCTCGCCTCGCCCTCTCCATTGCGCTGCTTCCGTTAGCTTCGCATCACGTGTCAGGTAAAATTGCGGGATGCGCAACACTCCTTCATTAAGTTAATAACAGTTTCTCTCTTTCGACAGAGTACAAAGTGAAATTGCGAAAATCCGTTTCACACTCACACACACACACACACATTTTTTTCTCTCCCGGTGGCGCCTTCTTCGTTGCCCTATTCCTTAACATCCAACCACCAACATCCCCACCCTCTTCCCTCTTCCTCTTCCCACACTCTCTCTGGCCGAGCGCTTGCCTTTTGATGCTGCAACGGGTTTTGCTTGGTTTTGAATTTCAGCTGTGAGAGATAGAAAGAGAGAGAGTGAGAGAGAGGAGAAAGGAGGGGAGGGGAGAGTAGAGGCATTGCTTGTCGGATTGTGTTTTACATCTTGATTATCTTCCGCTTGTTTGTGCTATATAAACACTCACCCACCCACCTAGCACCCACCCACCCACACACACACACACAGAGCTTATAAACCAGGCCAACCCCTGCTGCGAGTGGGCTTTAAATGTAAAATATTTCTATTCAAATCCATTCAAGGATAAGAAGTCAATCAGTCTACAAAGTGCAAAGGATTTTGCACTTTCTCAAATTCAAATTCAAATTCTGTTCGAAATGCTCAGTGTAACGCACAGTGGTAAAAAACCCTGAATAATTTGTCAATTATTTTCAACTAAATTAATGACTCTACTTCTATATTATCTTGCCAATTTTATGGTTTCATACATGTTATAAGTACTATAACACCCTGCGAATGTGCAGTTTATTGAAATATATTTATATTTGTTATTAGATTCGCGTTACTAAAAGAAATATGAATACATTTAACAGGATGATATATTATTTAAATTATCATTTAATTAAATATTAAAATTTTTTTATTTCCATTTTTTTTTTTTAAATATTTTGAGTGTCATAAATTTTTCGCAGTTTTATACAAATTTTGCAACTTCTCTATTTCCAACAATATTCCACACCCTGTTTATACTGGGATAGTGGATAGCTACAAGCTGATAGCTAAATTTCTTAAATTTGCAGTTTCCACATTATTCGAAATGTTCCACTGTGCATAGCTCTCCGTTCCATTCCGTTTCGTAGCGCCTGCACCAACCACAAGCCAAGCAGCCAAGCAGCCAAGCAGCTGGCATGCCCAGACTTAAACTTAATCCCTCAGACACCCCAAGACGTTCCGTAAAAGGCAACAAGCTTGCAAATTGAAACTGTCAATCCTCCATCTCTGTCGCCATCTCGCCTTCAGCTCCTCCTCCTCCTCTTCAGCTCAGTGGCAAGCGCGAAGGCGTCTGATGGCACGTGGCGACACGGCAAGGGTCTGGACACAAAGAAACCAAACGACAGCAGCTGGAACTGGAGCTGTGGCTGTGCCTGTGGCTCTGGCCGATGCTGTAGCTGGAGCATAAACTTCAACACCATCGCCATCACCTATCCATTCTTCAATTACCCTTTCGACTGGGACGCCGGTCACATTATCGTAATCGCATCCTAATTGCGAGAAAATTACGCCCACGTGCGGCCTGTAACCTGATCAGCATCAAAGGAGTCGACACAATGCCGCTCCAGCAGCCACGCCAGCCAAATCGATAAATTTTGAAATGGTTATCGTGTAAATGTGAGATGTGGCAGACGCGAATGCATAATTAGGCAATCAATCTATCAATATATATGTATATATGTATATGTACATCTATATATAAAGATAATATATGAGTATGTTCTTTTGGATGCTGCTGCAATGAAATTATCGGTTAGTTGCTTATCGATAAAAATCGAAAGTTTTGAATATATACATATCCCTATTTTTATAGTTTATTTAAGCTTTAAATTTACTTGATCTAAGCAAGTTGAATTTTTTGCATCGATATTAATCGAAACACTATTTTGATATGTAAATGTATTGCTTACTGGGAGCACTGTCCTATTACCAAATATTTCCAAATATAATCAATTATTCTAAATACTAATAAAATAAGTAGAGTTGATAATAAAAACTTGAAACACATTTAACTATTTGTGCAAAAAAGTACATATATAAATAATTACATATAAATTTGCTCTATTTACGATTACTTAGGCCATAGGTTCAGGGGCCTCTTCTGCGAATAGGAAGCGCCAGATACAGCCGGCCGCAGCAGCGGCTGCCGCATGGGCTACTAAATATGGCCAGATAATTCCCCAACTGCCGTTGACAACTGCGGCCGCGAAAGTACGGAAGAAATTGAGATGACATCCGGTAGTTGGGTACTATAAATATTTGAAAAAAATTGTATATAAGTATAAATATTTATATAAGAACATACGAATAACAGAATATTTATAAAATTAGAGTATATTGGAGTATGAATATAATAGCATAACTGTATATAATATATATATATATATATAAGAGGATAAGACTGCAAGAGTATACGAATATACAATTACAAGGGTAAATGAGGATAATAGAATAGGAGTATAAGGCTATAAGAGTATATGATTATCGAGTCTAAGAGAGTATGGGAGTATAAAAGTAAAAGAATATATGAGTACATAACTAAATGAGTATAAGGATGAGTATGAAATTACAAGAGTATAAAGATCACTGAAGCTAGAATCAAAAGGTCCTTCGATGGCACGAGCTACTATATAGTATTGCTACAGTCTCGAAAAGGAAATATGTATGATTAGAATATGATTGGAATACGAACCGTAGCGAACGATAGTCCTGTAAATATGAATCCGATGCGAAGCGATAGAGTTTCGTATGCTCCCTCGCTGCGAGTATCCCAAGCAGCACAATAGGCTAATAGCAGAAAGAATGTGGCCAGCAATTCGATGGACATAACATGCAATTTGACATCCGTGCCCGATAGACATAGAGACTTTGAGCTTTGTAGAACGGCGAAGGTCAGCGCAATGCCGGCCATGGCGCCTAGGAGCTGGGCGAGCATATACCAAAGCATCATTTGCCACTCCATAATGCCAACAATTGTTGCAGTACCACTGACAGCGGGATTCAGATGAGCGCCGCTTAGCATGGCAAAAATCTGGATAGCCGTCAAATAGGCCAGGCCCCAGGTAAGGGAACTCTGTATGTGGCGCGTATCATATCCACCACCACCTTTCGCAAAACAGCAGCCAAGTGTCAAAACAATTGCCGTTCCAGTAAATTCAGCTAATAGCCTTTTGGCCAGTTCTTTATCAAACGCAAAATTTCCCATTACTTTAATTTGAACGGAAAAAAAAAAAAACAAAAAACAAACAAAAGTAAAGCGAAACGAAAAATAGAAATAATAAATATTTTCGAGATCCAACTACAATGAACAAATAAATTTAACTGAGCTCTCTCACATTTTCCCCGAACGTAAGTCAAAACTGGCCTACTTCAACTTGACATAATTTTGACCAAATTACGATAAACAAGTAAGAAAGCTCTAGTTGAGACTGCTCGACTACGTAATCTCCTGAACCCTTTGAGCAACTGATATTTCAATAATTATTCGCACACACAGACACCGACACACAGACCATTGCAGTGGCTGCTTACTATGGGAAATTAATTGTTCAATAAATTTTCTTGTGGATGCACTGTCTCTAGTATTTGAAATACGCCTTTTACAAAGGTAAGGGCGAGGGGGTGGTGTGAAACAAAAATCGAAATTGTAAAAAATACATATAAGTCTATATTTAAAGTTTGGAGACTGTAGCTTTAAAGGTGTAGGAGATATAATTACATAACTAGTTTCCGATGAGATTTTTAACGATAACAACATATCGGTAGCAGTTATCGATTTTGGGAGAAAACCCGATATTTCAAGTCTTTAGCTCTTATATCTTTTGAGATCGACGCGTTCATACATACGGACGGACAGGGCTAAATCGACTCAGCTCGTCGCTCTTGTGGGGTCTGCCACGCCTCCTTCTGCCTGTTACATACGTTTAACAAAACCATTAAACCCTGATTTGCCATTTTCAATGGGTTCAGGGTATAACAAAATTAAAATAAAAAACAATGGAAAAAGTTCGATTTTCTATTTCAAGTCTAAATGAGCGCGAATGAAAAGGGTTTTTGTCTAAGCTAAACGTAAAATTTGATTTCCGTTTGGCGCCAACAACTTCCATTAACAGTGCCAAATGAGTAACTTCTGAGAGATGAGCCGATATCGCCAATAATTTGCAGATGTTCGAGACTATCGATTTTAAATTTAAATTCAAATGGCGGGTTACATATCGGGGTGTATTCCAATTGTTATCGATGCTCCACTCATTTTGGCAATGTATAAATAATATTAAATTTTGTATTTAAATAAATGAAAACTAGAGAGAAGTATTCGAGGATTCATCATCTTTTCCCTTTATTTTTGATTGTGTGTGTGAATATTTTATGCTTACAGTACCATAATGAGTATAACATTTATTGGAATTGGAGATGAGTCCAAAACTCGATAAGCTATTCAACAAACCGCCAACACCCACTGCATTCAAATATCTGCAACTGAGGCAAAGCTTTAATATTGCAATTTAAAGGTCATCGAACCCGATCAAAACAACATTATGTGATTACAGACTTGGGTTTTTAATTAAATACTTGTTTTAACAGTAATTCTTTTATAGGCGTAGATACATATATGCTAGGTATAGTCATAGACATACACTGACACGCGTTTTACATAATATAAGTTTATATAATAGAATTTATACATAGTTTTACACATAAAATTATCATGTATGTGTGAGCGAGTAGCTCGCCACATTTACATATTCTAGTTGCACAGCAAGAGGTAAATATGTTTGCGAACGTGCCACATGAGAGATTTTGGCCACATTTGGGTTAACATCTTTGCCAAAAATATAAGTAGATTGTTTATGAATTACCGTATGATGCGATGCGATGATACATGGTCAAAGATTACAATGTGTGCATGAGAATGAGAAAGTAATATTGGATGAATTATTACATTTTTTAAATGATTTTTCTTTTTCTTTTTTTTTCTCGACAACAGTTAGAAATACAATTACAAAATTATAATATACAAATACATAAATAAGAATTATAGATTAGATGGGATTGGTCGCCTCATGGAGTCGGCCTGCTCAGTCCGAACAGCTGCTTGGGCTTGACTTGGAATGTGGGCAGCAGCTGCCAGAGCCTGTGCGGAAGATGCGATGATGGGCGTGAGGCGGGCGTTTGATTTCTTTTACAGAATGGGCTTAGTTTATAAGGTTTTCATAACATTTAATTTAATTTAGACGTTAATTTTGCGCCTTACATTCTAATTTAAAATGTTAACATTTAATTATATATAGCATTACTGTTTGCTTGTTTCTTTGTTTTAATTTTATACAGTTGTTTTCTTGTTATATATATATATAATATATATATATAGATATAGATAATAATTTAAATATACGTATATATATATATTATACATTTAGTAATAATTCTTGCTCGCGTCGGTGTATCTTGATTGTTTGCTGTAAGGTATTTCTTTTTTTTTTTTTTGTCGTAATAAATATATATTATTACATATATATTTGACTAATTCATTGTTGCCCAGCGACATCTCTTTGGGCTCATTTTGTTTTGCTCTCAAAGTGCACTGCTTGGTTTTGGATGTATCTATGTATATGAATGTAATTATTATGAATGTTTGTATGTAACAATGTGTTTCAAATATGTCACAGCTAATTTACACCTAACGTGCCTAGACCTTAAAGAAAGTGCAGTTCCAAATGGTTGTTGATTTTTGATAAACTATTATTGATTTTTGTTGACTAATTATTGATTGTTGTTATTGTTGTTGGCTATTGCAATTGTTGTTGTCGCTGTGCTTGTTGCTGCTGTTATTAGCAATGTCCTAGCTAGCAGGCAGGCAGGCAACAAATTGGTTTCTTACTTAGCTCAGTTGATATATGTGATGTTGTTGATGTTATTGTTGTTGATGTTGTTATTGTTGTTGTTGTTGTTGAGTTTGGGTTTTGCTTTTCACGTTTCCTTTTGTTGTAGTGTATGCGCAATGCAAGCAGCAGGCAGTAGTCATAAATCGCAACGCTAACTAAACAGAATCATCTGCAAATAGAGAGAGTGAGAGAGAGAGATTGAGTTATTTAAACAGCTGCGCTAAATACAATGTATCCAATGAGCACGCATACGCACCGTGATACCACCATTTAGTCTTTTTGGGATTCTTGTTGCATGTCTTCACGTAGAGCGTGTTGTCCGGCGGTCGCTTCTTCTCGCGGCAGCTGCTCAACATGGAGGCTATGCTAAGGCACACCGATTGCACCGACAATGCCGGCGACCAGTCCTCGGTCAAGATGGACAGACAGATATGACCATTGCTGTAGACGTGCGGATGCACCGGTATATTGCTACCAATGAATGTTACCTACGAGCAGAGATTTGATAATTACACATAGATTAACACAGATATTCACAACTGTGGCACTTACCTCTGGCGAGTCAAAGGGATATTTATTATTGAATTTAAACAGCAGCTGAAAGTCCTCGCCCTCGTAAAGCGTGCCCTCGAAACCTTTAATATTTATTTTCCATCTATAATTAAGACAACAACCGTTTTTTGTTAGTAACGATAGCTCGTTAAAAGTCAGCAGAAATATTTATGTAAGACAATTGGAGTCATTGTTAAAAACGCGCTAAATTGCCAAATTTAATTAACCAGTTTATGCTCGTTGCTTATTGCTGTTAACTGAACTTGGCCTAGTTGCGGAATTCGGAGATTTTGTGTGCGTGTGTGTGTGTGTGTGTGTGACTTACTCTGATAAGTTTTGCTGTACGCTTTCGGTGTCAACAGTCACACCTGGCGGCGGCTCCTTGATCAAGGACATCAGTTCTTTATGCAAACGACGCTGTAAAGAGCAAAAGACCAAAAGGGAAATTAATTTTGAGCTTAAGTTGACAACAATTTAGCAAGTACAACCTGTCGCCCTTCGCCCGCTCTCTATCTCGCTCTGCCTACCCATTAATTCCCCATAATGCTGTCTATATCGCGTGTTCTGTTGGCCTTTATAAATGGTATATATATATATAGGAATGCAGACCTTATCGCTTACACATTTCCTTTGGGCTTACAAGTATTCAATCTACCTGACTTATATGTACATTTATATATATATGTGTGTGTGTATATATAGATAACTGTTTAGATAAGATAAAACAAAATGGCTTGTGCAATGCTTTTTAGCCGCCTTAAAACTTTCGATTGTTTTGTTGTTTTGCACTTCGACAAAAATTAATTTTCTAATTTTGTTTGCACAATAATCAGTCATAAATATATATATAAATATCAGCAAGTTAACGCTTGATAAGATATAAGCGACTTGAGTACAGCTGTTCTATGCAATGGAACAAAGGAAATTAATTGTCTTTATCACACGACCAAGGTAAATTTAAATTGCTTGGACAAATGTTGCAAACTGACTCAACCAGCTGCGCATACCCCATGCGAATAAAATTGCAGAGGCGATGACTCTCTGCCCGTGTTCCAGGAAAAACTCTACTGACGCAATTTGGCCAATTGGTCTGGCTATATGCACTATAAAACTGAGAAAGCAATTATACATATAAATGGATATATACATACATACATTAATATATATATATATATATATATATATAATCTAATGCAGAAATACCCTTGATTATGCGCAGCTGTTATATTGGCACACACACACACACCGAAAAAAAAAACTTTTCAATTTAAACTTGTCATTAGCAAAAATAAAAAATAGAACTTATGAAAGTGTAAATCCCACAGTAAGACCATAATTCCATTTAGATACGATGCTATATAACCGATAAGTCTACAGCGCCTCAAGGCCAAGCCAGTGCACAAAGTTCGCCTGGCTTTGGGTCTAGCCTCTACTCTTTCTACTTGCCTCCCAGCGCGAGTTGTCCAGCAGCAGGGGCTTGCCGCATTTGGAGACGGCCGGCTTTTGGGGCTCCTTCGGCTCGTTGATGATCTCCGATTTGGGAATTTTGTCTTTGGATTTCTTGAATAGCTTTAGCATTTCGATGGACGCGCAACTCGGACGGATCACACTCGATTATTACAGTTATTCGGGCAAGAAAATACACTTTCCAAGCTTTGCAGCTTTATTTTTTATGATTTGTTATATTTATATTTAAAACGAATATTTCACTAATTCGTTGAACCGCACGAAATGTTGCTGTGTTTTAGACTGAAATCTCAAAAATGAATTTCTTGCCTCGGTTTGATTTATTTCTCTCGTTGCTTTTTTTTTTTTTCAATAGGCAACTATGTTACGTTCGCCCAGGGCCCAGCACAATTTATAAACACACTCAGTCTGCAGCAATAGCCGCATTTTAGCCAACGTTTTCAATTTCAATTTCACTAAACGCACTAAATTCGCAAAGACACGGCCACAATCGCAGCTAAATGCGCCAACGTTTCGTCGCTGACTGTGGCAAAAGCATCGAGAAATTTACTCAAAAAGCAAAACACACATACAGACACACACACACACGAGCACAGATAGCGCTCGGCCCAACCCGATTCTCCCCAACACAAACCCACCCAGCGCGCCAACCCCACCCGACGACCCGCCCCAGCCAGCCGCTCGAGACGAGGCGTCGACAGCGCCAACTCTGCCGGCAGAACTTGTCATCGTCATCGTCAACGTCAACGTCAATGTGCCTCAGTGTGCGTAGTGCATGTTCCTGATACCCTAACCACGCTGAGACAGGGGAGTGCCAGACGCCATAAATACTGAACAGGACGATGTCCAGAATTGAGATATAAATAGCACCATAATCAGCTATATATACGGCTGTTCAGCTATATTTATATCCTTAGCAACATAGCAAATACTTTGCGTACCTTAATACAAGTTAAGATTAAGGATTTCATAAAACTAAATGTATATACAAATTTTATAAAATTTATATTATTTTTGACTGAATATTTTTAATCTAGATTTTTTTAAACAATAGACATATTTTTAAGCTAATTTATTTAATTTTTTTTTTATACAAAAATTTAATTCGATACAAATTGTACTTTTCTTGTACATATATATTTTTAAGGCTCGACAAAATTAAATGAAAATTGATCAAAAATAAAAAATGTATACGTATAAAATTTTAACTAATATTTACTACAATTTAAATATAAAAATATATATAATAATATATTTTTAGTTAGAATAAAATTTAAATAAATTACAAATTTGATTTAGACTAAAGTAAAAATTATTTGGAGCTGTTCTGGCTATAATTAGAGGCATTCCCGCAGCAAAGTCTAGCCTCTAAGGGCATTCCCTAGTCGCTGCAACTCAAGTTATTCAAGCTTTCCCAATTTATAGCTTTATCTTATTTTATTTTTTGTGCACTATCAGAGCGAGCACTTTATGCGCGACCACAGACGGACGGACAGAGAACTCGTTTAGAGATAAGGCTACTAGTATATACACCTCTGAATAGGTGTACAATTTATAAGATTTATTTGTGCAGCATCAGCGAGCGAGCTGAGACGCTGTAAATGCAAGCAGAGCTCGGCTCGGCTCTCTGGCCTGCCCTTCACACTCCCCGTCTCGATCCGCGCAAACTTTGTGTCAATTGGCACGCTCAGACTGCCTGATAAGCAGCTGATAAGAGTGCTGCGTACAAAAATATATACAAACTGTATATATACAATATATGTGTGAATATGTGCCATTTATAGCCGAGCCATAAAGCAGCAAAAAATAGAAAAAAATAATAATAATAATATTTGGCAATACCAAAAAAATTAAGGCCAAAACGCAGCCGCAGCCAAAGTTTGTTGGCCGTAAACGGGCCAATAAAATGAACTTCAGTCAGCGACGTCAATTGCCAATTTATTGCAGTTCGATGAAATTGCAAAATATTTTGAAACTGCAATGCGAATTGCAAACGTGCGAGAATCATCAAATCAATCAATTGCATGAGCTCACTCACACACGCTCGCCCTCTCTCTCTCGCACTCTACCCATCTCTCTCGCACTCTCACTTACTAAATGGCCAATGGATTATGTAATAGGAAAGTGCGGGTATATTCGTCCAGCTGGCTCGTTAATAAACTATTTAGCGCAGCTCATTAAAGTATACGTAATACGAAAATTCAATGAAACTGAAATCTATTAAGAGATAACTAAACTTGAAGGTTTAACTAATTATCTATATAATATATATATTATTATACACGATATAGCATTAGCTAAGCCCTGCTTGAACTACAGGTTATTCAGGCTTGTAATAGACACAGTTAGTCTAACTAATTTTTTGCTTTCATTCCCATTGCTGGCTTTACTGTACGCCGTAGTATATACGCTCCTCAATTGGCGATGTGTGTCAAGAATTGTTTATTGCCACACTAAATATGTATATATATATATGTACATATATACATCTCAATTCTAATTTTCATCTAGCTGCTCAGCTGGCTGTCTGGTTGTCAAGCGCCTAAAGGCAATGGCCCCCTGCTAGGAAAAATATTCAAAAATCAAATGATTTTCTTTTATGTTTATTGACTATCGAATTGGGCTGTAAATAGAATAAGAATCGTAAGCATGTACCCGACTATGGAGTTGATCTGTAAATAGTTTGATAACTGCTTATAGTTCAAAGATCAAGCATGGGGAACTATCGATTAAACTGATCTGGTAACACTAGACTATGGTTCTATGATCTGTAAATATATTCTAAACTCATAATAGGGAAGTATCGATTATCAAGTTGACTTATAAATAGTATCTTAACTGATTTGAGGAAAGTATCCACCATTAAATCAATCTGGAAACAGAATTTGATGGACTATTGACTATCAACTGGACCTAAGCTGATTATAGAGAAGTATTGACTATCGAGTAGACCTTGGAAGTAGTACCTAAGATGACTATGGCGAAGTATCGACCTGGGTATGACATAAAATGTAATATAGGAGTATGGAGTTATCCTTAAAATATTATCTAATTTGTCTTACGATAGGGAACTAACGATCAGTAAATAGAAAATGTGATTACGAAAGTAGCGACTACCGACTTGAGCTAAAAAAGTAATATAAATAATAGGGAAGTAGGAAGTATTTATTTCAGTAAACAAATAACGTTAAATCTCTATGAAATCTAGATGAAAGTTTCATTAATTCTTAGCCTCATTTCAGCTTTTACCTAATGCCTGGCTTTTCTACCTTCAGATTTCCCTCATCATTTAACTAAACCACACTTTCTTTTCGACTTCATTTCGGATCTCTTTTTGCGCAATCATTTAAAAACAATTTTTGATGAAATAGCTAAGAGAACGGAAAAAACTGGGAAAACATTGCGAGATTTTGGTTAAACGCATAAAGCATAGATGAGTAAACAGAGTCAGAGGTAAACAACACGCAGTTTCTTTGTCAGCGATATTCGCAAGAATTTTCGGGTAAACAATAACAAAAATTATATACAAAAAATGGAAAGAAGCAGCAGAAGCGAAAGGCTGATAAACTTGATAAAAAGCAGCTGATAAAGATGCGACACAAATACCAAGTGGGCGTTGAGTGGCCAATGGACAGTGGCCTATGATATGAGCTGGCAGCATTTGCGACGGCTGCTGCTGGGCTGGTGTGAAGGCCAAGCGGATCATAATAGATAAAGAGTGAAAGAGAAGGAGATAGAGAGAGAGAGAGCGTAACAGTTTTGTGAGTCATGTTGGCCTAACAGACGTTTCGAATGCTCTTTGCTCTTAGCTGTTTGCTATTTGCTGTTTTCTGTTTGCTTGGCCCATTAAGCAGCGTTGGCCCAGCAGTCTGGCGATATTTTTGGGCCCCAGGGCGACCTTCGCCACTGAATCACGCCCCACATTATGCAACATTCGCATGCGCCAAAAGCCATAGAAAACGATTTCCTGACTGCAAGAGACTACGGCTCTTAAGCGCATTACAAGCGACAACAGAATGTGCAAAAATAGCAGCTAGCTGGGCGTGGCAGCTACGGAGGGAGGGAGGCGGGGGGTGTGGACTGAATGCGACAGGCGGAAGCGTGCAACATAACCTTAAACTTGCGATTGCTAAATCAACAATTACGACCTTCGCCAAAAGCTTTGCTCTTCTCCCAATCGATAAGAATAAAGTACGTACTTAATATAGATTGTATAGAGAGAGAGCGAGAGAGAGATGTATATATAGAGATATATATTGCTGTATATATACAGCTTCTGCTACGTCACTTGTTCGCGACGTCAGAGTTTTGCTAGTTAATATTTTGCATTGTTCTTGTTCGTTGACTATTGCAGGGTATTAATAACCTAAGCAACAACAAAAACCTGATGACAGAGAGACAGAGAGAGCAACAGAGCGAGAGTCAGTTTTACAATGAGAGAAAGGCGTACATCACGTACGTGCCGTGTGATTAACAGCTGAGACAGCTCATCTTGCCTGGCTCCATTGATTCCACATGTTTATGTGCTCAATTCGCAGCTAATGAAAACAAACCTTTTCAATGTAATCGAAAACTAATCATGAGTCGCGTGGAAACGTGTCCTCAGCGACAACACGTGAAGTGTGCATGTGAAAAGGCAATAACCGTAATGGCTAAATAGATGATATTACAGCTATGGATCTACATTATATGTGAGAACCCAAAACAACAGCTGTTCAGGTAGCTGCGATAGACTTTTTGTTGTAAGTTGATGTCTAGACTTTAAATTGATGCTTGCATATTCTAAATAAATGTGTGGAAGATTCTTATTCAGTTCGGCTTCAATTTGACTTTGTCTTTTAGCGATCTGGCAACGTCAAAAGTAGAGCTAAAACTTGAGAAAACTTGAGACATGATGGACTTCATGGAAAATTGATGTCTAGATGTGAATATGAAGTTTCAATTGGAAAGGCTTTTTCTTTCAGCTTCGATTCGTCTTTAAGTCTATCAGGATGCTGCAAGGCTTAGAATTTGTTTAGTTGATGATGAATATAAATTTCTTAAATATTGCAGTTGGAATATGTAATACCTAAATCTTTTTCCAATTGCTAAATCTTTGTTGCTTTGCTTTAATTAATTTATTTTTTATTAAATGGGTAGATTTTTGGGAAATTAATGATTGTTACTTGATTCTAGTCTTTCATTTTAATAATATTAACAGAAACCCAACTGAAAACACACAAAAATCTGCACTGAGCCTGTTAAGTTGGCTGCGCTAAACCTCATTGCAAAACTAGCATTAGGCATTGGGATGACAGTAATTATTTTAGTATGTAAATCTTTAGCCTCTACTTGATTTTAGTTGAGTGCATGAGGAAATCAGGCGAGCTCTCAATTGCAATGCATGTAAGTCTACTTCTGGGATCGGGGCAATCATAACAGCCACGAGGAGGCACCGTAATCAGCGCAAAGTGTGACTGGCGACAGGCAATTCAATTGAGTTTTAATGCTATAAATGATAATTGATATCATGGCCCGTTGCAAAAATCACAGCAATTGGCGAACAATGCGCTTTTATTTATTACAATTCATTTGCGGTCACTTGATAAATGGCGCCTGAGGAGTACAGTAGAGTAGAGTAGTACAGTGGAGCGGCGATATAAGCTCTGGATATTCACTATTTGCTGCGCGTTGCATGTGACAAAAGATAAGCGGATTAAAGTGTTTGCTTAACAATAATGAAATTGCGCAGGCGAAATAAATTAAATACAAATAAATAGGCTTATCTCTTTAATCAAATCAGGTGTGCGTCGCTTTATAATTATTAATATATATTAAAACAAATATATATAAAATAAACATATTTATATATATATATTTGTAAAGGCATATGTAAGTTTAAGAAATTATCATTGAATGGATTTTTCATTGGGCAGAATGATTAATCGCGGCTTTGTTTCAGCTTGCCTATAAGGAAGTTCAGTATTTAATATAATTTTTTGTTTTTGTATAAAATTGAATGCCTTTGTGTTCTATCTGCGTGTTGCATATTGGAACAGCAGAAGATCGACAAAAAATAACAAATAAGCGAAATTTGAATACGCAGCCTTTGGAGTACTTTGGAACCTGTTCGCTAAAAGTTCTCGCGACATGGAATCAATGCTGAGCACAGCCTATATAGCAGTGACAGAGCTTGCATATCAAATATGAACAAACTGGTTCTCATGGATCTCTACACATATACTAAATATATACATATATGCACATAATCAAGTAGATACATATCTATATAAAACTGCTTTTGGTCAGCTATAAAATGTATAGTAATTTCTATATATATGTACATATATACGCTTGAAAGTGGAAGTGTGGAAATCAACCGAAAAATTCTTGTGCATTTTGTTAACTTTTAATTTTGAAAGCGTGCCAAGAAACTAAGCAGATTTTAAGCAAACAAAAATATGTGTGAACAGATATGCGTGTGGTCAAGATGAAAAAAAAAAAAAAAAAAACAAAGGAATCTCTTAGTCAGTTGGACAAAAATAAAGTCTTGGCGCGTGCCAAGGCAATTAACGGACTAGCCGATTAATTAGCTAGTCTAGTTTAAAACCGATAATTCAATCGATAATTAAAAGCTGATTTTCGCACAGTGCATGCAAATCGTGTAAACCTTTGCCGGAGCGGAACCAAACCGAACGAAACAGAATCGAGTGTAATGCAAATCAGCGCGTGCGAATTCGCGTGTCAACGAGAACTGAATGAATTGGACGGCGAATCCGAAACACGAAAAGCGGGCGAAGTGCGCGTACGCGACGAGCTTTTCGTATTGAGTGAGCGACTTTGTCGGCAGAGACGCTAGATATAAGGGCAGACAGAGCAGAGCACTGAGTACTAAGAAAGAAGGAGGAGGAGGAAGGGAGACAGCAATGAGCTGAGAACAGTCCGCACAGCAGCACAGGATCGATAGATGGCGCTGGCGTTTCAAGGCTTGTTTACGCGACGTAAACAAAAAACGCCACACACGGACGCCGCTATAAACAAATGGAGTGCATTTACAGTTAGAGGCAGCGACTACATTGCAATTTGGTTGCATAAACAACCGATGCTGTCGATTCATATGTGCACTCACTCTTCGCCTGGCCGGCTGGGGGTCAGGTCAGCTAATGAGAGAAACAGCAGAGCGAAACCTTGGCAAGCCACAAGGCTATTGAGAGGAGAAAGTATTGATGGATGCAGAGACAAAGAAGCGTCATTCAATTTGTTATATAATGTGCGAGCGGCTAGCGACTTCCTCCTTGAGCAGGTGAAACCTTGCTGATAATGTCGACACAGCCTCTGCAAGGGTCGTCGCAGCGATAAGATGACGTTGAACCTGTACAATGTTGAAAATTGCTACCGGCAGTGGCTTCGGTTGCGGTTGCGAGCGGCAGCAGCAGCTGACAACAAACATTTGCACAACTGTTTTTGCACACGCTTAATTTACGGCATTTTCATTGTTGTTGCTGGACGCACAGCAGCTGCCAATTGCTGGACAACAGCTGGGATGGGATCAAACCGAATGCAAAGAAGCCACTCACCTCACTGGGCGACATCGATGACATATTCCTAGTTGTTTGATGGCAGTTGCACTTTGTTCGTTGTGCTTCCACTTGTTCACAGTGTTTGCTGGGAACGTCAAACCGCTTATTCTTTGACCTGCTATGCTGTACAATCTTTTTCCTGTGGTGCACAATTTTGAGTTACAAATGTATATGTAGTATATATGTTACATTGCCAACTATAGTCGATCAAAATTTAAATAGTCTAGCCAAAGTGTTTTCTACTTTATGAACTGTGACGTGAGACGCACATCAAAATATACCTGGCATGTTGTTATTGATATTTGGGTTTTTGTTGGTATTAAATTGTATCGGCTATTATATCGATAGGTGATTTTGCACAGCTGTTGTCGAACAACTCATAATATGCTTTCTGTATTTCTGCTAATTGCGTAGGAAGATGTTTTATTTTTATATTATATTAATGGAATCAAATATATTTAAATTTAATAAATAGTATATTTAATTCTCCCACCACTTATTCGTAATTCGAATGTATTGCAACTGAACATATCGAAAACCCCGCCGTTATAGTTTTTGGTATTTATCGGTATTTTAGTATATTCTAGCATAACAAAAGTACTCATGTAGATTCAGTACTTGCAATCAGCTGATAATAATACAATCAAGCGAAAACGCTCAATGTAACTCCAAAAAATAAATGAATTACTGAATTAGTTGCAAATGTAGGGAAACTAGACTTCAAATAACATAAATGAAGCCTGCACGAGCTCTTATAGTTAACATGATTGCATCTTATGTTAATGACGATAAATGCAAACTCTTTCGGCGTACAGTGGTGGCTACAAGAATGTGCATAGCTGTAATCTAACTGCTATCAGGGGTTTGCCTTTTATTGGACTCACTGATAAAGCATCTATGAATTACATTTAAATACACGCGCACCAGTTGCTGAGCTGCTCAGTAGGTGGCTTGCATTACTTTCGGCCATATCAACGAGAACTTGACAACAATGCATTTTGGCGTATTGGGAAGTGGAATTATTGGTCTAACCAGCGCCTTGGAGCTGCAGCAGCAGTTCCCCACGGCACAGGTGTCGATCATAGCGGATCGCTTCAATGAGGACACAGTCAGCTATGTGGCAGCGGGCATCTTTCGGCCGGGCACCAGCTTCATGGGCCCCACCCAGGAGATTACACAGTAAGGGACAGAGCAAGGTCAAATCAATTGACTTCATATATAAACGAATACTCTTTGATTGCAGGCAATGGATGCGGGATGCATTCAACTACTGGGATGACCTGCGTCGCTCCTCAGAATCAGCTATAGCTGGCGTCTGTCAACTGTCCGGCTACATATACTCACGCACCACACCTTCCATTGTGCGGGTAGGTCTACGGCTGCACGGGCTGTCCAGCGCCCTAATCAATTATTCTTATCACATAATTTGATTGCCACTAATGATGTTTACTGTGTGATTATCTAGAATCACTTTATAGAGCAACTGCTGCCCGTTTATCGACGCGCCACAGAGGAGGAGCTGAAGCTGTGCCAGGGCGGCTGGAAGTATGGCTCTTTCTTCACCACCTGCCTAACGGAGAGTCGTCTCTTCTTGCCCTATGCCACCCAGAAGTAAATTTGATTTCAATCTATAGTTAGCCTTGATTACATATTATTCTCGTTTAGATTCCTGTCAAAGGGCGGCCGAGTATTGCGTCAGCATGTGAGCAGCCTGTTCGACGTGCCCCAGGACATTGATGTGCTGCTCAACTGCACCGGCATGGGCGCCAAGGAGCTGTGCAATGATCCGCATTTGGTGCCGATTCGCGGACAGGTGCTGAAGGTGCGCGCGCCCTGGATTAAGACGGCTTTCTATGGGGATTTCGATACGTATGTGCTGCCCGGCTTCGAGACTGTCACATTGGGTGGTTGCCGGCAGTACGACAGCTACAACACCGAGTGGTGCAAGTACGACAGCATGGCCATCAAGGAGCGTTGCTATGATCTGCTGCCCAGCTTGAAGAAGGCGGAAATTGTACGCGAATGTGTTGGCCTACGTCCGCACCGCTCGGTGGTGCGTGTGGAGCCGGAGCTGCTGACAAATGCTCAGGGCCGTCGCCTGAAGGTGGTGCACAATTATGGACACGGCGGCTATGGCGTGACCACCGCGCCGGGCACTGCCAAATATGCGGTGAAGGTGGTGCGTGATGTGCTTGCTGGCAATAGCAAACTGTAGAGGGATTTTTATTGTATTGTTGATTTGTTAATAATTATTAAAATGTTTATATGTGCAATACGATTTTTCTCCAAACTTTAACCGGCATAAACGCGAATTTTGATTGCATTTGGCGTTATAAAATAATCAAAATACGAGCTGGCCATGAAGACATAAATCAATTACAATTTTTGCGATAAGATTAAGCTAAAGTAAACAAAGGTTCAAATTTCGCGCGCACTACTGGGGCTATCGATATCTACGTTCAGTGTTGGGCAATGTTTGCTGTTCACCGCGCAGTGCGCAATTGCGCCGCATGAATGGAAAGCTCGAAAGCTTTCGCTCGCCCACACAACTAACCCGTCAGGCATCGATTTTCACCACTGGAGCAGAAAGAAACAGCAGCTGGACGATTGAAACAGTTCAAATGATGAGAACGTATACAAAACGCTTATATTCGCCGCGCTAGTCAATTCGCCGCACACACACATACACACACACACACACACACTCAAACAGAGACACATGCGTAGCTGCAGGAAAATTTCTGCCTCATTCGTGGTCCTGTAACGACGTGTACAACAGAGCGACAGCAAATTCTAACGAAGCACACAGGAAAAAAAGGTGAAAATCAGTTGAGAAAAAAAAAAAAGAATAGAAGAAACACTTTACCTGACGCCTGCAACTAAATGAATAATTCACTTGTATCGGGCGAGACGAACGCGCGTAAAACGCTGAATAATTGATTGAATAATCGCAGTCGTAAACAAAAAAGCGCAAAAATTTCTAACAGCAGGCAGCAGGCAGTGGTAACTCGAGACCAGTGCCAAGGCTAAATTTTACCCGTGCTGCACGCCACAAACCCCAAAGCCAATACCACTAACAAAAAAAAAAAAAAAAAAAAAAAACGACAAAAAAATTACAAAAGAAAAAGCAGAAATTAGAGCGAAAAAGCAAACTCGCAGTCGCAATATCGATTTGTGTATATGTGTGAAAAATAACAGAAAAGCGCTTACACCCACGCACACACAAGCACACGCATACGTCAACAAAAAACAACAACAACAACAACAGCAGCAGCAGCAGCAGCAGTAGCAGTAGCGGCAGCAGTTGGTCAGAAGGAACAGTCGCAGCACTTAAGGAATTACCCCAGGATCCGCAGGCATCCGGCGCAATACGAGTCCTCTCCCACACACACACACATACACATACAAACATCCTCACACTCATACACATATAGCCAGCAGCAGCTGCAACAACAAAGATAGAGGGAGACAGAGAGAGGAAAGAATAACCGCAAGAACCTCAAGACTAAGTCACAGTAAGTGCATTTGCATTGCCCGTAACAATAAGTATACGCCGCATGGCACTCATTACTTATGTACATATAAATTTGTATATGCATACATACACACACACACACATACGCACTCCCATGCTGGTGCATGCTGGACATGTCAACAACAATATGGGGCAGAGGCAGACCGAGAACTCGCCGTGTTTTGATATCAGCTTTTATTTAGTTCTTCTCCGTTTGTTTGTTTGTTTGTTTGGCCAGTTGGACGGCGAATGTTGTCAATGCCAAATGCACGCAGTAAATGATTTGATTGCATTGTTGTGGCTGATGGCTGCCACCTGGTTGCACACACACAATAATAACAACAATAGCTGAAGGTTAACTAAAAATTTAATCTGTTAAAACTTCCATACTTCCTATATGTATGTATTTCTGTACCTATATTTCGTGTCCTTCAGATGACGTCAAATTGAAACTCTTTTACCCATAGACAACTCTCGCAGTGATATCATTTCACATAATGATGGATTACAAGCGCACACTGAGACCATCTGAACTTTTTAAATTGATTGATTGAGCAGTCTCAAATGGCGAAGATTATTAAGTTTGCTGTGCACTCAGCAAGGCTTTAAAGAAATACACACAAGTGTCCAGCTAGCTTTTGGTATTTTTAAGTACGTTTTTAAGCGCAGGATTGTATATAAATACTATATACATATATACAATATTTACATACTAATGTATATATGTATGAGTATGTATCCATATACATATTTTATAGCCTCTTTAAATTATTAAAAATGTTAACTGCTGCTCCCTCACAAACCTTTTAAATATTAAACGGCAAAGTGGTTAACATTAAATGTTATCGAAGCATTATCGATATATTTTCTAATTTAAAAAAAGCCTCTCAAAGCATCAAAAAGAATTTATGTCCAATTAGCGCGCTTTATGGGCACTTATTGGCCGCATGGAAGGTTTAGGCCCTACTCAACCAATACACACTCACGCTTACCAGTGTTTTCTTGTCTAAATAGCCGAAAACTTTGAAATAGCCAACATTTTGATTGAGAAATTTACAACTGCTGTGCATAATTGAACAAAACACGCACCAATACAGACACACCTACCCACCCGAAGCCCACGCACACACTCACACGGACTACATAGAGAATAAATGTATCTGGCATTTGGCATTTGCTTTGCGATATGCGATGCCGCAATTTGTTATCAATAATTAAACAACAGGCCCACAGGTTATGCTGGCAATTGGCAACAGCTGCTTAATTGTTGTTTCACGGGGAGCTGCTTACAAATTTGAAACATGAAAGAACATCAACAACAACAAAGTCTACAACAACAACAACAACAACGACGACGAGTAACAGTCAACCCTGTGTTGTGTAAAAAAATCGATAATTACCAAGCGAACGAGCTTGGCGAGGCAGATAAAAAGCACGCAGCACGCTCTGATAACAGCCTGCACTTATTTACTTGAACATGACTGTCGCTGCTTGTCGTTGCCTGCTTGTGCATGTCCGTACACGTTTATGCCTGTCTTCGTGATGCGCCTCAAGAGCCTCTCAACAGCCGCCGACCCCGCTGCCAGCGCCGCCACTCACCGCTAGATGGAGCTGTGTCTTTTGCCAGGGGCCTTGACGGTGACGGAAAGAACTTTTGATTTAAACCACGAGCGTGTGTCTGTGTGTGTGTGGGGGGCAAAATGTTGTATGCAGTTGCTCTCGTACAAACAAATTATCGACACAATGTTGTGTGAATAGCAAAGGAAAAAAAAAGTCACTCTTAGCTCAATGTTGAAATAGCCAAAGCAGCTCGGCTCTTTGCTACTCTCCCATTTCTCTTCCCCTGAAGACAAGGCTAAAAGTTGTTCAAGGCCAGGCTCGAGCTGATTGTTGCCTTGTTGTCAGTCGAGGCGCTCTTTGAAATTTCATCATGACGTGACACTCATATTAAAGAACAGCTAATATTCATATTTCCAGAGGGCGAATTTCATAAGGAATTGACAGGCGGCAGCTACATAAAGACCAACTTTCTCTCTCTCTCTCTCGCGCTCTCTTCTCTTTCTATTTAGAGACATATTCTGCAAGTTGCTGTAGGGCTTGCCATTCGCAGAATCAACTGCGCAAATCCTTTAAGCCTGTCTATTTTTGTTGAGCAGTGAGCTTTGTATTTTACAAAAATTGGTTTCAACTTACGTCTTGGAAGTCGTCCATTACTGTAAATTCCATAGGAGCTGACATTTTGCAGGAGCACTTGCAGAAAAAAAATGTCCAATTCGTATGATAACACGCGCACTGTTATAAATTGTTCTTGAGTATCAATAGTTTGTAAGAGTCCATCAAATTATTGTTTTACCAACACAAAAGGGAAATAAATGACATTTGATGTAGCTTGTCTTCTCTCCTTTTAAAATATGTATGTCAAGGTTATTGATTAATAAATTTAACAGCACAACTCGTGCGTGCTATCGCCATAAATCGTCAAAATGTTGATCACTCCCATTGACATTGCAATTGAAAGCTTTCGATACTATCGATATTCGCAAGTACCGTGGCCTATCGCAGGCAGTCCACCTCTTACAATTGACAAGTGAACGAAGAAGGAAAGTGAAATGGCCGAGCATTATCAAATAATATGGCATGTAAAGCGCGTGGTATGCCAAAGTCGTTCATACACTATTTTACTGCCTTTCAGCCACAAATTATACTTGGGCGATGCCAGCTCGTCGCCCAGGACCTTGGCAGCACCTAATCCCTAACCTAATCGGCGCTCCAGGTGGCTTTTTGCACACGCCAAGGCCAATAAGTTGATGCGGCTTTTGTTTATGCTTTTTGAATATGCAAACGCATTTTGTTTAATGCACGCACAGAAAATTCAATTACTTTACAATATTCTGTGTGAAGGGGGCAGTCCACCTGCTGTTCCTCTGGCTGATTGAACAAGGTCAAAACATTCACATACAAATGAGTTACAAAAAAAAAAAAAAAGTTAATTAAGGAAACCAACACTTGGCCACGTGTCGGCGATCTATTCGATCAGCTGTACCCTCGGTACTGTGCCGCCACCAACTGTCACGCCCACGCCCAGGCCATCGCCCATGCCGCACATGGGCACTGCGCTGGGCACAGTCAGCATCAGATCCTCGGCCTGCTCCAGTTGATAGTGGCCGTGGCACTTGTTGATCAGGCTGTTGTCGCCCTCGCTGCCAGTTTTCTCCAGGTTCCTGAAGGTCACACCGTTGTTGTTTTTGGAGTTGCTGTTGCCCTTGTTGTTGGTGCTGAAGAAGATGATGGAATTGGGACAGCACGATTGCAACGATGCCTGCTGCTGCTGCTGCTGCTGCTCCGGCTGCTGCGCCTTGGCCGCTTTGTCGCGCTTGAGCACAGTGGTGCAGATGCTGGCACTGGAGCTGGTGGTTATGGTGGTGGTGGTGTCCAGCGTCTCGATCAGCTGCCCCTCATCATCCGAGTTGGGAATCACAGTGGCCTTAATCTCGTGCACCTTGGCCGCCTGCTGCGGCTGATGCATCTGCGGCTGTTGCTGCTGCAGCAGCTTCTGTTGATCCTGCTGTGACTGTGACTGCACCTGTTCCTCGTCCAGCTCCTGCTGCTGCTGCTGCAGCACCTCGATGCGCATGCGCGCCAGCTGAGTGGCGTCGTATGGACAGAAGTAGTTCAGATTGATGATCCGGTTGCCCAGCTGCTGCACGGGGCGTGAGTTGCGCGAAATGGGCGTGACGCCGTCAGCGCTGAGCAGCTGGCGAAAGTGACGCAGCTGAAAGTCGCTGATGGCCAGCGACTCGGGAAAGATGAACCACTCCGTGCCCTGGTAGCACGGTGGCCGGGTCAGCGAACCGCCGTAGCTGTAGAAGCCCGTGCGAAACGGGTAGATCAGATAGGAGAGTGGAAAGGGCGCGACGTGCACACGCTTGCCGGGCTGCTGCACCAGCTTCAGGTTCTGCATGAGTGGATCCAGAAACGGATTGTGGGCGGACAATTCGAAGACGTAGGCGATCATCAGGAGATCGTAGCTGCTCGTGCTGTTGCGACGCACCGAGGCCCCGGTGCGATGGAGCACCTGCATCTCGAGCGGAAACTTGCGATGATTGAGCGTGTGCTCGGAGCCCTCGCTGTTCGACCAGCCCCAGTGGAAGCAGAGCTCCACAAAGGTGTAGCTGGCCAGCAGATCGGCTCCACTGATGGTCGGCACATTGCTGCGAAACTGGGCGCGCAGCAGCAGCGTCTGTCCGGTGTTCTCCAGCACAATGCTGGCCGGCAGCTCGTCGTAGTGATTCCAGTTGAGCAGCTCGCGTATGGCCAGACGCTGCACCACCTGCTCGTCAATGTTGACGGGACTCTGATTGATCACCGACTGGGTCCAGGTGTGCGGGCCGTGCATTATGGTATAGTCAAAGCTGCCGGCCACGCCCTTGACGCCATTGCGCCACAGATACGAAAAGGGATAGAGTCTACTGAAGCCCTGGAAACGTTCGCGCAGCTCGTCGCCCAGTTCCTTGCGCAGCTGTTCGTCCGCCTGGTTGAAGAAGCTGAGCAGCAGACAGACGCCGGTGGCTATCAGCGGATGCTGCCAGGCCTGGCTGAGCAGCAGGCAAACGCCCTGTGCCAGCCAACTGACCAGCATGCCCAGCGTGGTATCGAACATGGTCCTGGTCTCCGAGTCCGAATGTCCGAATGATGTACACAAAGAGAAATTCAAAACGATAAAAAACGAGCAAAAACAAGAAGCGAAACACCAATGGGCGGTGCTCAGAAATTTAATTTAAATTGAGACTGATTTTGAATAGAGAATGGAATTTTTGCTATATATATATATAAATATATATGTATATGTACATACATATATAGACATATATATATATATGTATATATGTATATATATATATATATTTGAGCCGAAGTCGAGCAATTGATGCTAGTGTTAAACTGTCGCTGCGAATAATGATTTCTCTCGACATGAAAGTTTTGCTGGAACAAAATCCAGGCTAAGCTGATCTAACTCAACATATCTGAATCTCTTACAGCACATAATTATGGCCGGCGGCGGGGATCCCAAGTGGCAGAAGGATGCAGCCGATCAGAATTTCGACTACATGTTCAAGCTCCTCATCATCGGCAACTCCAGTGTGGGCAAGACAAGTTTCCTCTTTCGCTACGCGGACGATAGCTTCACATCGGCCTTTGTCTCCACCGTGGGCATCGACTTCAAGGTGAAGACCGTTTTCCGCCACGACAAGCGCGTCAAGCTGCAGATTTGGGTAAGTCCAGCAGGATTCGAAGCCTCATCAACTTATTTTTTTGTTAAAAGCAAACGCAATTGGTGTAGCTCATTCAGTTCGAATTTGTTCTGATGGCATCCATGCCTGAGTCGATCAGTTTTTTGAGCTAATCTTTGTCTTCAGCCAGCTCTGTTACGACTATCGTATATTCTGGTTCCTTGATATATTATGGGTAGACGTAAAAGGAATCGAGGTCGTATTACAGTCGAGTCACAGTCAGATCTCTCATATTGAACTCTTATGTTATAAAGTCCTATTTAAATATGGGTTTTATTCTCTTTACTTATACTTATATTATCATGGCTCAGGTAGCTGGAATGGAAGTATCAGATTTGACTAAATTGTCAGGAGGTTCAACTAGGAAGTTATCGCTTAAGGTCAAGTTCGACTTAGTATATTATCCATTTGAGCCTGAACTCTTTTCTAAGACAAACCCACTTACCTTAGCTAGGCAAGGAAACTTCGTTTATGGCAAGAATTACTCCTAACTTAACTTACTCTAAAAACTAAACTTCCCTCGCCTCTTTTCACGCCCAATAAAGCTTAGCCATAATTATTAATTGACCTTAGTTTCACGACATTAGAAATCTAATTATCAACTGTTCAGCAGGTATCAAAAGGCAAATTCTATAAATGTTTAAGCACGCAGTCCAATTAGTTAGCGTAGCTCTTAGCTAGATGAAAGGCACTCAAAAGGCGCAAAGATATCTCAACTGAATCGTATACAATGAAAAGCGAAAAGCGCCCACTCATACACACACACATATACATAGCTATTCAGCTATTCAAGCTATTCAGTTATTCAGCTATTCAGCTATTCAATTATTCAGTCATTCAGCTACCGCAATTATTTTGCTAATTGCTAATTGGAAATCGTTCCACAGACATCCTCTTTAACCTATACCCTGAATTATTTGAAAATCAAAATGGGCTTCCAATTGAAATAGTCAATATATAAATAAGTGTAGCATACTTTTGTGGGCCGAACAAAAGTAAATGTGGCACAGTTACTAATGTGACAAGTTGGCTCACAATTAACACAGATAAAGATAGGAAGAACAAGAGGGAGGTCGAGAGACAGAGAGAGAGAGAGAGAGAGAGGCAGACAAAGAGAGAGCGAGAGAGGGAGAGAGAGAGAGAGAGAGTCAGCTCTATTGATTGCCGAGAGCTGTGTCTATTTTGGCATCAGTGTCATTGAGCGACTGGCTCGTTGCAAGGGCAACAAGTTTTACAGGTGAGCGCACGGCGAAGTGTTCCCACACGACCACAGCTATGGGCATTCATACATACATACATAAAGGTGTGTGTGTGTGTGTGGGCAGCACTAATTGCGTTTGCGTTTGCGTTTTATGCACATGACATGTAAATGTAACACTCAGACCTTACCTCACTGACCATAACGTTTGCTTTCCTGTCTGTGTCCATGTCTCTGCCTGTGTGTGTGTGTGTGTGTGTGTGTGCGTGTGTCCTTGTGGGCAACAGGATACGGCTGGGCAGGAGCGTTACCGCACCATAACCACAGCCTACTACCGCGGCGCCATGGGTTTCATTCTGATGTATGATGTCACCAATGAGGACAGCTTCAACTCTGTGCAGGACTGGTACGTAGCTGGCATACACTGCTGTGCGTATGTATGTGCTTAATGATTTGATATGCTGATACTGCTTTTTAGGGTGACACAAATCAAGACGTACTCGTGGGACAACGCTCAGGTCATATTGGTGGGCAACAAATGCGACATGGAGGACCAGCGCGTCATAAGCTTCGAGCGCGGACGTCAATTGGCCGATCAGCTGGGCGTTGAGTTCTTTGAGACATCGGCCAAGGAGAATGTGAATGTTAAGGTAAGTGCGAATACAATATCTGATATATACATATATATATATATATGTGCATACTAATACCGATTCAATGTACGACAGGCTGTCTTCGAGCGTCTGGTGGATATTATATGCGACAAGATGTCCGAGAGCTTAGATGCAGATCCAACGTTAGTCGGCGGCAACCAGAAGGGACAGCGCTTGACGGATCAGCCGCAGGGCACGCCCAATGCCAATTGTAATTGTTAAACGGAGACAATTAGTCGAATGTTATAGACAAAAGAAAACAAAAGAAAAGAAGAAACTAACTAGCCTACACACACATAGACACCCACACACACACACACACACACACACACACACACACACACACACACACACACACACACAGATACACACATACACGCAGTACAGTTACAATTTGAACAAAAAATTTGGGGAGCGCAGCAAATGAGATGCAAAAACTTATAGAGGAAAAAAACAGAAGTAATACCCATATTTATATATATATGTATATACCAACTTATATATATATACCATTGATTTGCATGTATTCGAATTATATCAGTGTTTCCAGCATGTTTGTTGAGGATGTTAACGAGAGGTTAGTTTCAAGGAGGAACCAAAATAAACGAGAAATAATATGTTTACATACTTTCAATGTGCTTACTGAGAAATGTTGCTAATTTGTCAATGTGTTGTGTGTAAAGAATACAATCGATAAACGATACCGATACCGATACCGATACCGATACCGATAATGATAATGTTAACGATAACAATAACTCATGTCTAAGTGGCATAGAATTGGGCACTAATTAAATATGCACAATTTTGTGCTATATATATATATATTTATAAATATAAAAAATAAATATATTTTCCACGACTTTTCCCATTTCCTTTTCGCTGTACTCTAAAAACATAAAGCTCGAACTCAGCAGTATTTAGACGATCTCTCCTTTATTTTGTTAGCTAAGCAAACACCTTTCGAGTGTTTCATTTGAGAATTTTCTATGTACATACGCTGGCAACTTGGAAAAATCAGTCAATAAATGAAAATTGAAAGAAAATTGCAGAGAAATGAGATAAAAATTTAGCAGCATAAACGCACAAAGCTAGCGGATTGGTGAAATTAAACATTAAATGCAAACACACACATATACATATATATACTATATATTCATTATGAGCGAACTAGTTTTCACAGCGACACACACACACACTCACTCTCTCTCTCACACACACACACACACATATACACAACTGTACGCGTTGTATATGCATTAACGGCAAGGCTATAGTCGATGATGAAGTTCATTATTATAATTATTATTATGTATGTATGTATTTATGTAGTGAAATTAAACAATTTTAATGTGTTGCGTATTATAAATGAAATGAAATATTATACATATATAAATATACATATACCATATGAGAAAACTAAACCAAAAAAAAGAAAAACTCTAAATGAAACGGCATCCAAAATTTCACTTTTGTTTTACTTGCTCAAAATTTTCATTTCAAAGAGAATTGATTTGTGTAGACCAGTTCGAGCGTGATTTTAACTGGATCTATATGTGGACTATATACATATATATTTGTTTATATATTGTATATATATATATTCTGTCAGATCTAGCGTTAACCGAGAGACTGCCTTTACTTTCTCAACGCACAAAAAAAAAACTTTTTCTGATTTATTTTTTGCTATCAATATTTTCAGCATTTTTCAATTGACAATTAACGAATTGTAACCCACCGTGCGTTGACTGCACAGTGCAACAAAACAAGCAAGCACACACACACACACACACACAGACACAGATATTGGTGCATTTAATTTAAATGAATTACAAATTAAACTAAACTTAACTGAACTTCAATTTTTGATATGCACACGAAATAAACAATTTCTTCGGCTTAAATAATTTGAATTTCTACTAAACGAGAATCGATCAATTTTTTTGTGAATGCCAGCTGACTTTGAGATATAAATATTATTAAATATATATACATATAGAATATATACATGCATGTAAAAAATGAAAAACAATTTTGTATAGCTAAAACGTAATGCTGAAAATGAAAAAAAAAAGAAAAACAAAAAACAAAAACAAAACAAAAACTAAAAACAATTATATGAAATTGCTCGTAATTTGCAGAGTTTCAATTGAGAAATTAATTAAAAGGCATATCGCTGTATTATAAATACCCCCTCCTCCTCCTACTCCGCCAACACCTCAAAGAATATTTACAATACGGTTGCACAACGAGATGCAGAGCAAGAGTATCTTTCAGATACATGTTGAACCAAAGTATCTTTCAGATACATGTTAAAGTATTTGTTTCGGTGTAACGAGAATTGTGAATGCCTTTGCAGCAGTAGCAGCAGCCTCGTTATCCGATTTGAACTGTTTGTTCGTTTGTTTGTTTTTTTTTGTGTACTATAATCAGATAACTGATAAATGGCATTATCTCTCTCTCTATATATGTATGTATGTATACCCTATGCGAATATTGTGAATGTATGCTTATAGCCCAAACAAAACTGACAAAAACAAAAACGTAAATACAAAATATTGTTAAAAATTTCATAAAATTAAAGAAAAGAAAAAACTTGCGCTACATTGTTGTCATTTCTAATCCAAAAAAAAAGAACAAAATATTAAATTATAGCCGAGTATACTCAAAACAGAAGAAGAAGAAGAAGAATTGCATAATGATTTCGTCATAATCAACAATTATTTGTTCAACTATTAAAACATAATAATAATAATAATAATAATAATAATAATAATAATAATAGTATTTAAATGAGATATAAACATGAAATGCCCCATTAGAAAATGTATACAAGAAGAAAAATAACTGAATACAAGAATGGTTTTTAAATATATATACATATATATATGTATATGTACTGATGCATACTTATGAGCATATTTCGTGCATATACAAACACATACATACATACCACATGCACACACATACTCACACAAATATACATATATATATATATATATCTATATGCGACTGCGAGTATTAGAAACATGCTTATAGTACTTCACACACACTCACACGTGCATATACACATATGTATATGTGTTTATATATGTATCTATATATATATATAGTGTGTATATGTGAACCATGTGCATATGTATTTGGGTTTATTCAACAACAATTTAGACAGCAAATAATGAACTATTTATTCGTGTACCTTCGGTGCATAAATGATAAACAAACAAATTACAATAATGGATAATATTGAAAGTATTAAAATGAATAAACGTAACAAAAAAAAAAAATTCAAAATATGAAAAAAAAAAACAACTTTGTTTTATTTGAGTTGTACAATGATATTATTTATCAGGAGGGAAAGGATCACATGGAAGAGCGTTAAGGAAAGAATTCTTATTCACGAAGGGCGATTCCTGGAGTACTATTTCAAGTGGGCTACGGGAGTACTTGTGGTCTATGATCATATAATTTATGCTTTATATAATATATAATTTGTATAAATTCTTACGAAGCTTCAACCAGTGAAACACAATTAATATAGCTGTATCTTTAATAAATATCATATAATATCGGGAGTAATAAAAAGTTAGAGTTGGACAAAGTCTTCGCTCTCTGATGTAATAAAAAAAAAAAAACAGTTAAATATATTTTATAATATCGGGAGTAATAAATAGTTAGAGTTGGAGAAAGTCTTCGCTCTTTGATGTAATAAAAAAAACCAGATATTTATATTTTATAATTTACACATTTTATTTAAATACGCTTAAGTATTTGCAAATGTACATTTAAATATATCAATTCACATAAATATTGTTATTATTATTATTTTTATAATTTTAGTTTAGCAATTTGAAACAATGGCATAACTCACATTGAAGAACAGCAGCGAGAGGCGATATGAGAAGCAAGGCAGAGATAAATTGGACACAGTCTAAACTATTTCCCATTGCCTAAGCTTATCTATGCTACTCGCTCACATTTGCTGCTTTATATTAACAGCTCAACTGAATGTTATTTCCATTTGATTGCACTGCTTCTCGCTTCGCTTCTCGCTTGGTTAATCAAGAATTTGTTGCAGGCAGCTTAAATTGAATTCTTTTGGTATTTTAGCCACACAAATTATTTTCTTTATTTTTCATTTAATTTTTGCGCAGACACAAAAACTGTTGCTAGCTACAATTTAATTTTATATTTCATATTTGTGTTTCAAAGCAGTTTGTAATATATATTTATATAGACATTTATTGCTGGATATGTTTAACTGTATGTGTGTTTGTGTGTGTGTGTATTAGAGTTTATATCTTTTTATATAGATTTTGATCATGGTGCGTAGTATTTATGCGCTTCATATTCATCTTCTTTTTTTGTACATTTATTTTATATATTTTTTTTCACTTTAGGTTTATCTAATAAATGAACGAAAAGCTTTCATTATAATTGTTTGTTTTTGTTTTTGCAGAACTCTTTCAATTTCCAACTAAATGGCAACGCGTGCAAATTAATTAATAATTTCATTTAGCATATTTTTCTTGTATTTTTGTATTTATTTTGCATTTATTTTGCATTTATATTTCATTGCATTAAAATGCGCTCGACTTGAACTAATTTGGCATAATAAGCTCTACAGAATTATGAGGCACACGAATTTTTGTTTCATTTGCATTTTTGCTAAAACTCGGCGAGAACATAAAACAAAATTCGAACGGAAAAAGTTGAAATGCGTATGTGATGCAGTAGAGTTCAGCTGTATGCGACTTGTGGATACCCTGTAACGGTCTATTGTGAGGGCATGAAGTATAACAAATTTCTCGAAGCTTAGTTCAGATTATGTCTTATTGTAGCATATATTTTGATATCTATATTTAGGATATCCAAGAATAGAACTCATGTTTGCATAGAATGAACATATATATATTTCAATCTGTATTTGTATATATTTATTTATGTCTTTACAGGGTATATTATACCCTAGCTGCATTTGCCATCTGGGTACAGTCAATAAGTTGTATATATATATATGTGTATATAATGTACATACATATATTTGCTGTAGTTATTTATTTTCTATATAGCTGAACTGCTGAATACCCTTTCTTAATAAGTATTTTATAATTTGTAAGTGTGTGTTTGTGTGTGTGTATGTTGAGCCATGTTGAAGCATTTCTTAAATATAAGAAAATTCACAAAACAAATGCATAAAATCAGTCTGAGTTTTATTTAATACACATATTAAGTATACGTAAGTATTTATAGAGTTACAAACATATATATGAATATATTTACATGTATATATG